CCGCCAGCCGGCAGGAAGTCGGCCGCAGTGCACACCGCCTCTGAGTAACTGCCTCCCTCAGACATGATTCAGACCTGTCTGGAGTCACCCACATCCTCATTCCCTATGAAGGGATGCACGCCAGGTGAGGTGGCCAGGCGGCTGGCAGGGGCGGCTGGCAGGGCCGCAGCAGAGGTGGAGCCTGCTGCATCTCCAAGGGCTCACCCTGAGACGCCCCCGGCCGGGGCTGGACGGACGCCTGGGCCTCGAGCACCCAGAGTGCATGGGGCCCAGACTCAGGTCACAGAAACCGCTGCCCGCGGAGGCGCCTGGACGTCGGCCCTCGGCAGGCATTCCTCCGGGCCAGCTGGGCCCTTCCACAGGCCCTTCGCCCCTGTCTAAAACCCCGACATGAAAAGAGATCAGCTCTGATGCACACTGCACGGCGGACCCCCAACGTCGGGGGCCGCGAGAAAGAAGCCAGTCGAGAGGAAATGAATGCTCAGCCTGATTCCACGGCGGGACAGTGTGACCTCTGGTGGATGCTCAGCCTGATTCCACGCCGGGACAGTGTGACCTCTGGGGGGCGAGCTGCAGGGACGGCCTAGGGGGCGGGGCAGGCCACCGGTGGGGAGCCCAAAGGCCCTACATCTCGATCTGGACACTTGCCTCACACACACCCGTTTGCCACAAGCCACCACCGTGCACACTCACGTCCATATGCTTCGCGTCTGTAAGTTACGTCGCAATAAACCGTCACAGCAGAGGAGACGCAGGTTGCAACAGGACATTTTACGACTTACAGGAGAGGGACAGCCGGCGGGGTCTGACGGGGTCTCCGGAATGTCCGCCTCCGCCCGAGAGCCCTGGGTTCAATTACGCCCATTTTACAAGGAAGAAAGGTGAGAAGGGAGGAGGGGCAGGGGTGGCAGGGCAGAGGGACGAGCGTGGGCTCATCCGGGGCGCCGGGGACAAGGAAGCCTCGTGTCTGGAACATCCTGCCTTTGGCCACCAGTCGCCTGTTCCTGCCTCTCCGTGATGGCCCCCTGTCGTCCTGTGCCCCAAAAACCCCTACAAAGGAGCAAGAGCCATGCCTGGTGAAGCAGAAAGCCTGCGGAAGTCACTGAGAACCCAGAAGGCCAAGGTTGAGGGCAGCGTCAAACAAAGCCCAGGTCGCCCCCCGAGGCTGCGCTGACAGGGGGCCTCAGCTGTTACAGCTCCTGGTCTGGAACACGACAGAACAGGCCAGGCCTGCACTGGAAGCCGAGGACGACGGCAGCGCTCATGGCCCGACCCAGAGGGGGACAAGCGAGTGTGACACCATCACGCACACGTGGCGCCCCCGTCAGCGCGGGGTGCCCCGGCGACAATGTGATTATTAGCTGGGCTCCTGTGATTAGCGCCAGAGCTCTGGGCTGCAAACTGACCTGTGTCCGCCTTCCCGCCCCTCCTCCTTGGTTTGGCCACGGGCGAGTGTGGGCCCTGGGGTGGCCAGGGGCGGTTTAACCCCACCACCCCTGAAACCACCGGGCCCCCCACCCCAGCCCCAGGAACCGGCCAGGTGCAGCCTGAGTGTCCAGGTTCAGAGCCAGGTGACTTTCATGTTCAGGAAGAACTGACAAGGGCCGAATTTAGAAGGGAGCTGAAGAGGACGCATCCTAACGTCTCTGTGTTCTTCCCTCAACTCCTCACAAGGCACTGCTCGGGGAGCCCGGACCTGCCCATCCCCCCACAGGTTATGGTGACCCCTTTCTTCCGATGCTGGACAAACTCCTACTTCCTGTGGCCTTCAGCCCGAGGACATGGCCAGGTGACACGTCCAAGAAGGTGTCTGTGTGGAGGAAGGGACAAAAGAGGACCCCAAGGAAAAGCCCAAGGACGAAGCAGCAGAGAGCCCCGAAACTCGCTCTGCCCTCGCGCTGGAGCTCAGGGGCGGTGACAAAACGCAGGCTTCGGAATCCCGCAGCCCAAGCTCAAATTGAGCTCAGTTCCTGGCCGAGTGATCTCCGCGGCCAGCCGGCAGGAGCCTTAGCTCAGCCTCCTTGTGCAGCGGGGTGTGCATAGGGCTGTGAGCATCTGTGACTCACCGAAAATAGCTGGCTTTCGAAAAGCCACAATGTCACTGGCAGACACCGAGAAAACAATCAAGTGGACAAAGCAACGCTGGGCACTGGGTGCGCATTCCCCGGATGCTGACCGCCTCCCAGCCTCTCCCTTTGCTTGTTCTTCTTCTCGGTCCGCCCCCACTCGCCAGAGTCTATTCTGGGGAAAAGGTCCAGAGCTCGTTCTCACTAGAGTGTAAAGGAATGCTGCCATGTGCTCGGTCAGGGGCGCTCAAGATGTCCAGGGAGGGGAAAGAGGATGCAAGGTAAAATGGAGGCTTCAGTGACGTCTGAGTTCGAGACTTTGATTTTAAAGAGACAAATGAAGCACTGTCGGGGGCTGAGGAGGAACCTGGGTGGGGTGTCTTACTCCAGATCTCACCTGGTTTGGGAGGGACCAACCTAAGGTAGGGGCCGTATCGCTCCAAGGTGGTGGCGGTCCCTGACTTGTCAGGCAGCCCAGAGGCCTCCATGTGACACGAGGCGCATAGGCGGTCCCGGTGGCTGCAGGTGGAAGCGACTCCCCCTCCCAGGCAGGGGTCCTGCAGTGTGTACCCCTCTCCCAGGCAGCCATTTCTCCGCGCAGACCTTGTGAAATGTCCAGTCTTCCCGCTCAGGATCATCTATGTCACAGCGACTTCGTTGCTTGAGCCCGCCCTGAACCCCGGCTGAGAGCAACGGAGCAATCGATGCCTCAGAGGGGATGTGAGCCCAGCGGGAGTGGACGGTGGGTTAGCACTGTCTGTCCCGGGCGGGAAGGGGCGGATGCCATACACTGACCCCGGAGCCACACCTGCAAAGCCACAACGCAGCTCAATAAACATGCACTGGATGCTCCTCTGACCGACAGATTATCGGAGCTAAGGACTCACAAACACGGGGGGCACCGCATTCAGTGATGCCGAGGGCAGCAATGCGAGCCAGGCAGGTGGAGAATCGGCCAGACGAGCCTGCAGGGAGGACCGGCCGCAGGAGGAACTATTCCTACACTTAACACACACGAGCGACTTTTTGGGTTACGTACTTGAGGGAAAGGCCTAGATTTGCATGGATGACCGGAAGCCGGACCCCTAATTACACCTCTGGGCCACGTGGCAAGCAATGCCCATTACCCTCTTGGTGGGAGGACGGTGACAATTTTAGTTAGAGCCAAAAGTAACTAATAAAATCAGGTAAAATCAGCAGCTCCACGTGCATGTTCACACGCTTCACAGAACAATGCAAAAACTCGACCACCGCACACATCTAAAAACTGCTGTTGTTAGAAAAATGGGGGGTGGAGGGGAGTGGCCCCGACATTTAAGCCTAGATATTTAACTGTTCCGTGGTGGACCCAAGTGGCAGACTTTTTAAAAAGGCAACATCCTCTGCATCTGTGGCTTCCCACGGACACTCCGCTCCAGGGTTGATGGGGGGCATCCCACATGTGAGCCTGCTCAGACATGGGGATCCACAGACACGGGCGAGACACAGCCGAGAGCCGAGTACATGTAGCTGGGTCTATCGTAACGGTCGAAGCAGCAGTCCGAGTGCTGCTCAAACAGCCGGCCGGTGCCATTCAATCGGCTGTGTTCACCAATGGGACCCTCCGCCATCTCGACACACCCACCTCTCTCTCCCGCACCCTAAGTGCACTAGAAAACAGTTTCCCCCGATGGCCAGGACCCCGTCGGCTGCTAGGCTCAGCCCTGGGTGAATCACGCCTGGCTCACCAGGACGGCACTCTGAAATGACTGAATGATAACGGAGAGGCACAGACACCAATAAATGAATCATGCCTTCCGCAAGCCCGAACTTTTGGCTTTTACAGACACCAATTACAGAGTAGAAAAAAGAGAACCAAGAAATTGCTCAGGGTGTTTGCGCAAAGTTGATTCATGGGTTTACAGAATTATTGCCAGCTAAATTGTTTTTGGGGGAGGCAGTTAGAGCTGTGAGCACACACAGCACATCAGCCTGACAACCTGGGAATTGGCAGAGTGGGATGGTGGCAGCCACTAAATTCCTGCAGGACTCTGGGGGAGCGAACGGACCCTACCTCCCCCTTTCACTTCCGACTTTCTTCTGGAGGGTTATTTAAGACGCTGATGAAGTTCTTACAACGTGTAGCCATGTGAGTAACGTAAAGGGAGTAAGCACATACATACATAATTTTAGTGAAAGTCTTGGCATCAACTTTTATTTTTTATTCCTTATGTGTAGCAATAGAACACAGAGGTTCTCCCTTCTGTGATGAGACTTGAAACACATCATCTTCAAGACCAAATTCTCACGCCACCTCTCAGCTGACATCAGTTGGAGGTATAACAGATCAAAGCGATTTTACCTGCCATAAAACTTAGGCTGATGAAGAAATGGCGTTTGTTGTGGCCACATGCAAATTCTGAGAACTTCCTAATGCAAATGTGGCCTCTTGGATGAATCACCCCACATGGCTTGGGTTGAACCTTGTTGGCCAGACATCTGAACCTTATCAGACAGCTTTTGCAAAGCCTGAAAAAGCTTCTCCGTCGGGGGCGTCCAACCCTAGCGGGCAAACCGACGCAGGTGAGATCAAAAACGAGCTTAGGCCTGGCTTATGCTCTCAGGAGCCGCCCCACTTACCACTGACTGCCCAGACGCTCATGGGCAAGGCCAGGCAGGTGGGGCGCACAGCAGGCTGGGGCGCTCAGCTCGGAGGACCAGGGCACGACCAGGTAGCCGGGCCCACTGGGGCTGAAGAACCTCGTCTGGGAAAGCGCAGCTGGCTTGGCCCACACTTTGCTGGAAAAGTGACTCAGCTCCCCACTGCTCCCGCTTCTGAGGTCAGAGGCGGGGAAGCCAGTTTCACCTGCCCCAGCGACCTCAGGGCAAAGCCAGGGGAAGGCTCAGGCTCAGTCCTGGTCACAGCAGTGGGGACTCCAGTTGAGGGACCTCAGAGGAGTCTCCAGCCTTGGGGCGGCGGGGTGAGAGGGAGGCACGCATTTCAAAATAGTCTACAATCATAAAAAACATATACATATTTCACATAGTCTGAGATGTATAGTTGTATATATAAAAGCACATGTTTCTATGTTCTAAACTACTGATGTCCCCACAAAGCCACAGCCGGGTCCGTCACTTTTACCCCCGGGGCGGACACATCAGCTCCTGGAGACCTTAAGGACCAACAGAGACTGTCCCACCCCTGAAGCCCACGTGACCCGCACGCCAGGAATCAATGATGCCCCCATCAGAGAAGATCAAAGGTGACAGCTGCCACAGACAGGCCCTGTCACACGAGAGCGGTTTGTGGATCATCACTGCGAGCTCCCAGCAGCCACGAGGTGGGGACGAGGCCATGAGAACTCCATTCTCTCACCAAATGTGTCCCTGTTTACTGAACACCTACTTTGTGCCAAGATCACACAAAGAAGTTCAACCAACCCTCACCAGGACTGGACATGCAACCCCTCCCCCTGCCACCAAAGTCCCTGTTAGAGACAAAAGATGGGGGGCGATTCCTCCCAGCTTAGAAGGCAAGGTGGTGTCTTGCCCATGCGTGACTGACTGTTCAGAGGATTTGGCTGTATCTGTCCAGCCTGGGGGAGCCCAGCGCTGCATGCTGGGGGTCACAGGGAGCCCCTTCCTGGAGGACGGGTTTGCAGAGGCCAGAAGCAAACTTTACCCAAGCATTCAGATCCCAGAGCCACTGGGGAATTTACGCTTGTTACCGAATAATTAAAACTCTCTTTCCTGCCACTAGAACCACTTCCTAAACCCACTGATACAATAATAAATGGCTGTAGTTAAAACATATGTGAAGGGAAGGGAAGCCAGAGTCTGCCTCTCCCAGTGCTTCTGACGTCCCAGCGAGCTCCCTGCGGGCGCCGACAGGAAGCCAAGTGACCCAGCCCTGTTCTGTCCCACCCCCAGCCCAGTGGAAAACAAACACACATTAGAACTGCTGGACCACCAGGGCGACCCGATCGCCACCTGGTACCGCTGAAGGTGAGTCACACCTAACTCCTCACAACGCGTGGCATCTCAACGTCACATCTGAGCAAACACCAGCTCCACCCGTGGGTGCCAACGGGTGGCAGAGGAGCTGAAAACCGCTCCAAGTCTGGGGCGAGTGTGTGCAGAGAAGAGTTGCCCTAGAAATTCTCCTTCTGGGACGAGGGACAGGCCCTGGCGATGCGTTTTTGTCATTTGTCATTTCGATGCTCTCTCTTATCAGCACTAAAGCCACAGATCTCTCCGGGGACAACTGGGCTGAGGTGGGGACACGTCCACACGGGTCCCCAAGTGCAGCTTTGCCGTCTCCGGAGGCGAAGGCACCGCTTCCTGCCCAAAACAGTGCAACTGTCTCTGGAATCTTCGAAATAAGACTTTGTGCCCAAGGCCCTTTCATGGCTCAGGCGACTGTGCTGTGAGCCGGTGGAGCAGGAAGCGTTTCACGGAGGGCGGGTGGAGGCTCAGGAGAGATTCTGTGCTCGCCTGAGAAAGGATGGTTTTCAGAGCCTCTGTCTTGACGGCATCTCTCTGTCCGGCACTTTCTCTGTCCAGGATTTTCTTCTACAAGCCTGTCCGTCCGCCCGCCCTGCCCACTTCCTTCCCGCCTCCTACACATACGAGCTACCTGTCAGGCTGGGGAGATATAATGAACAAAGCAGACACGGTCCCCAACCCCCTTGGTGCCTGGTGACCAGAGGGAACGGACGTGACACAGCTCTCTACACAGCAGTCAAGAGTGAGTGGCAGGTCTGACAGGAGAGACTCAAGGGCTGTGCCTGAATCCCAAACAGCACGACCAGCCTGGGAGCCTGGGGGGCGCCCCCTGAAAGAGGCTTTGCGGGTGGTCCCATTCTGGTCGCCTCTCAGGTCCCTTCCCTGAAATGAACTCAATTCTTCCTGTGTGTCCTCGCCGGAACGGCAGCTCTCAGGAGGCAGGGTTGTGTCCCTGTTCTCCTGTGACGGTCCCAGCACCTGGAACGGCCGGGGCACTGCCAGGATGGGACGAGCCTGGCTGCGAGCGCTGAGGTTTGTTAGCGCCCGTCCCTGAAGGCAGGCCCCGGGGGGGTCTTGCTGTCCTAGCACGAAGCCTAAAATACCACTGCGGTGTCAAGTCTCGCAAAGAAAATGCTGGGGCTCAGGCGGTGTGCGGAGACATGGTGGGAGCCGGAAACCTAGGTCTGAATCCCAACAGAGCGTCACTGCCTGGCTGTGTGACCTGGAGCAAGTGTCTTACCCTCTCTGATCCCATTTCGGCATCTGCAAAATCGGTGGCAGCAAGAGCTCTCTCACAGAGTTGTTTTGAAGACTGAGAAAAATGCGTCACTAGTACCTGGCACATAATAAGCTCTCTGTATCCAACTAGGAAAGGGAGTGGAAGCAAAAAAAAACCCATCAGTCACCCTGGCAACAGAAGAGAGAAGCTGTTCTGTGGATCTTGCAAGGCCCGGGGCATCCCAAACCGCTCCGGGCCCACCCCAGGGTGCCGAAGCCCCGCTCCTGTCGGCAAGCCATGGCAGGACTTCGGCCAGCTTGGTGACAGACACCTCTGCCACAGCCTGACAAAGCCCAGCTGAGCCCCCGAAGTGTCAGGATTTGGCTCTGTAGTGTCACCCGAAGAGAAAGTGAGGCTGACTACGGACGCTCGTGTTGTCATGACTTCACGGAGGGCCATGGCCACCTCCGGGAGGAGGGACAGCAGGACACAGCACCTCGGCACGCAAGGGCTGCTAGGACCCCACTTTACAGATGGGCCCGGAGACAGCGACAGGTGACACAGCCAGCGAGCTTTAGAAGTAAACTGCGTCTCGATCCCTCGGGCCCTCGTTCACACTCTGCAGGCAGGTTTTGTGGGGCCCTCACGGTGAGAAAAAAGGAAGAACTGCCAGTACCTAAAATCCCAAAGTTTCACATCAAAATCTTGCTGTCCTGTGTCTGAAACTGAAAGGCCTGGCCGCGCGGGGCCCATGTGGCAGCGGTGGGCGGAGCGGCCGGGCCCCGCGGGGCGGACCCCAGAGTCCTCTGCAGCCCACCCCGAGAACACTGGCCTCGCCACCCTGCCCCTGCTCTCCGCGCCCGGGAAGCCCCCGGCGAAGCTCGGTGCTGCCCTCACCCGTGCCCCTCACCACGCGTGCCCACACGCGCACACACACGCGCACATGGTACCTTTGGAAAAGCACAAAGTGGGCCCTTGGCTTTGATCTCCCTCCCCCGGCACGTGCGCTCTACGAGAGCCCAAGGCGGCAGGAGCACAGCCTCCCAGGTTCGATTTGTCAGTTATTCTCTCTGGGCAGGATCCCAGCTGCTGAGCTGCCTGCAAACTTCGTCTCTGGCTGAGGATACCTGAAGCGAAAAAGCCACCCGGACCCTGAGGTCTGGGCTCTACCCCGGTACCCTCCTCTCGAACCTTTTCTTATGTTTTCACGATGGACCGAACCATAAACCTTTAAAAACCCTGGCCTTGGGTTTTTAGCCGCAGCTCTGGGGCTGCTGGGGGCACAGGCATCTTGCTGTCCCGAAGGCCAGCGGCCACCAGCCCTCTCGACACCCTCCTTGCCTGGCGGCCGCTCGCACCACTCCATTCCCCTTACTTCTCTCGAAGGGAGTGTGCCCAAGTCCGCACAGCTCTTGGGGGGGATGTGCGCATGCACCTTCTTCTCTCTTCTTCTTCTTATATGCCCAGGAGAAGCTGGCACCGTACCCCACTCAGAAGGAAGCCAGCGGGAAAGCCAGCGGTAGCAGCTGAGTGTGTGTGTGACGACTGCGAGGGTGTTTACGCGTGCATGCATGTGGGCGCATGTGCACGCGTGAGTATGCACGTGTATGTGGGTGTACGCGTGTGTGTGCACACGCAGGAGCTGTTAGTTATTCTGCGTCTTGACAAACACCGAGCTCGCCCCTGACCCCGGGCCACGCTGGGCCATGCGGGCTTAACCCAGACCTCCGGGAAGCTGCGGCCAACTGCCCGACCTGAGATCCAGTCGAAACTCAACCCCTCGTTACACCTCCGACGAAAACCGAGTCGGAAAACACGCGGGTTGAAAGTGCCAGCTGAGGGAAACGCTGGCTCTCAACACTCACGGTTTTTAACCCAAGTTCTGAAATACCAGCTTTCACTGGTGCCTGAGTCTCTCCTCCGAAGACAGGCGAATCCACAATGAAACCTGGGAACTTCATCAAGAGGGCACCCCCCACCCCAACCTTCCCTGCACACGACAGGCACCCAGCAAAGGCTGAGTGAGTGAGTGGCAGGCGCCAACTTGGAGTGTGACCACAGCCTTTCTATCCAGGGACTGATTTCTGCAGGGAACTGGACACCTTCTGGCAACTCAGATTTGCCTCCCACCACCCCCCAAATTTAGAGGAACCAATCGTTGATTAAAGAAACCAATAACTGATCAGCCAGGCGATGTGCCCCTCAGGGAACACTGGCGACGTCTGCAGATATTTCTGGTTGTTACAGCTTGGTGGCGAGAGCAAAATGCTACTGGCATCCAGCAGGTAGAAGCCAGAGATCATCCAGCACAGGGGACCACCTTCCCCTCCCTCCCAACGCGGCGCCGTCTGGCCCAGCATCCTGGTGCCGAGGTTGAGGTGCCCTGGCTTCGAGAGTTACACATGAACAGCAAGTGCCAGACAAGCCATCAGCACCCTGGGTGTCCTGGGAGTTTCCGAAAGCTGTTTTAGACTATTTGTTTGGAACTGGCTGAAGGAGAGGAATCAGAGGCTCAATGACTTTGGCGGTATTAAAAACCCAAACGGCCACCGTAAAGGTGTGGGGGGTGGGTCCAGGGCAGGGGACACCTCCCAGGGCCCTGGAGAAATGCTGCCACAAGCGCCAAGGACTATGGTAGCATCATTCAGTCTGGAGAGCAGTTAGCATCTGTCCCCTCTCCCCGCAAACACAGAAGCTGAAGGAGAAAGCCGGGGTCATTTCTAAGAAACGCAGAACTGAAAGAGACCAACAAGAAAGGCGACCCCTCCCTCAAAAGGAGCCACAGTGAACTTCCCGGCTGTCATCTCTGGCGGGCTGTCACTCGAGCCAGCTGTTTTTAATCCCGAGACCCCTGGCTTTTTAAAGAATGGCGTATTTTTCCATGGTGGGGGGGAGCTGTGGAAACTGAATTCCCATCAGACATCATCCCTCGCCCCTTGACTCTCAGGAAAGATGGGGCCCCTGGGGTGTCTTTTTAAAGTTAGGCCATTCCAGATGTCTGGCATCCCACTTCCCACCCTCATGGGTGCAAAAGGGGTGCCACCGATTTCTTCTAGCTCCCCAAGGTGGGTCTACTCTGGCCTGAGTTCCACATTCAAGTGAGAAGTGACCCTGAGTCTGGGTTGGTGACCTAGGGCAAAACCTTCCCGTCGCCACCGTCCCTCATCTATAAAGTGGTGGCAAGACCCCGAGATGGCCAAGCCTCCTCCAGATTCGAAATTTGGGGCAATTGAAGACCACGCCGGGGACCCAACTCAACTGGCAGGGGGACCATTCCGGGCATGGAAGCCTCCAGCCAGAGGCCCCACCTCAAAAGATGGTAGGATTTTAGATTTCAACCCTCACGGGTCTCATGTTTCAGGTAAGGAAACTGAGTCCCAGGCAGCCCCAGCCAGGGCGTCTTTCTCGTCGAAGAGAAGCCACCTGGGCCCTGCCCTGCAGCCCAACTCCACACCCATCGGCAAAGTTCCCGGCGGGATCATCTGAACCACCCAGGGCCGCTGTTTGTCTCTTTCGTTTTTTCAGTTTCTTCCCCTTCTTCCTTCCTATCTTTTCTTATAAAGAAACTCCAAGCCCTAAGGCTTCCTCAGCAGAGTCTTTATTGAAATCTGATTAGCATTTGCAACAAACTGTTACATTATATCTATGTTTTAAAGCTGCTTCCTCCTGCCCCAGGCTTTCTTCCAGTAAGTAGGGGGCCCTGTGGAAAAAATACAGGGTGACTAATAGGCCACCCTGGGGCCAGCTGCACAGACCATGGTTCCTCCAGGCAATACCCCCAAGAGTCCCACTCAAGGCCCCTGCGCACACAGGTCTCAGACGGGTTTAACGACACCTTGGTGTCAGCCAAAATATCATCAGGGCCGATTAGCCCAAGAAGGGCTAATTAGAAGGAAATTTTTTTAAGTCCTGAACCCAAAGGAAGGACAAAAGCAGAATGTCTGACAGTGCCCAGGCCTAATAATGACAAGTTCGACACGATGTCAGCCCCTTGGATGGGAGGTCCCTACGCAGCTTTATGGAAGGAGGGGGTAAAAACAAGGTACAGAGCGGGACTCAGGCAGCAAACCATTTAGCACTGGGCAGACTCTCTCTAAACATGTGCGAACATATTTTAATAATATCCTCGTGCATTTCATTAGCCTCCTGAGTTCACAAAGGGCCTTTGGGAAGCAATCTGATTTAATGCAACTCAATTCCGCAAACGCTGGCTCTGGGCAGGTTCTCCTGGCACCTCGCTGCCCTGGCACGGGGCAGCTGGGGGGAGGGGCACTGGAGAGGGGCAGCGAGGCTTTGCAGGGAGTGGGGTTAGGTGAATGGAAGGACCCACCCCCCAAGCCCGCCAGCCTGCTCCTGCAGGGCCTGTCACGGGTTATTTTTACCTCTTGAGCCTCACTGTACAGGCTCAGGGGCCACAAACTGTGGCAGCCGCTTTGCGGAAACTGGCTTATGAGTCACCTAGTGACTGCTCTGGCTTGGTGGCAGCTGCCTCTTGGCTCCTGGTCCGGGCTGGAAGGCTGGGCCTTGCAGGAAGGGTAGTGTACCCCTTCTCCTGGGGTGCCTAGGTGTGAGGTTGGGGACACTGAAGCTCAGAGAGGCAAGAGGTCCCCAAAAGGGTGGCTGGGGGAGGAGATGTTTAGGTGTGAGGTTGGGGACACTGAAGCTCAGAGGTCCCCAAAAGGGTGGCTGGGGGAGGAGATGTAGGATAGAACGCAGAGCCCAGGGGGTAGCAGTCAATTTCCCACCCAACCAAACGTCCACCTGGGTGGGCTATGAATGACGGAAGTTGAGGCTTATTTGTCTCAACTTCTCAACGGGGTCAAGCCCCGGAGCTTCAAACACCCCTCTCCTCACCCTTGGTCTACCTCCCCCTTCAGGGCAAGGCAGTCCCGAACACAGACAGCCCCAAACTTTGACTCATTGGTAACCACTGTCCCAGTCAGACTGAGCCAAGCTGTCCAGACAGAGGATATTTATAGGTGCGTCGGGGACACAGACATTCACACAATGACACACACTCGGGATCCACGTTGGGCCAGACCCACCAGCACCGAGCCCTGGATACAGACACCTGGACACAAGTCCCCAGCCTCCCAGAGACGCGCACGCTCAAGAGAGGCACCCAGAACCAGACGCAGAGGCGCAAGGAGACCCGGAGACTCATGCTCCTGGGACCGACCGTGACCCAGACACACAGAGACGCGCCAGACCCAGACAGACACACACAGATCCGCACACCCCACAAACGCACGGAAACCCACTCACAGACCGAGACACACAGCGCCACACACGCTCCAGACACCTCCCAGGCCAGACAGTGTCTCACACGTCCGCCACCCCCGCCTCCAGCCAAAGTTGATATAGAGCCGGCCTAATTGCTCCAGCGCGACTGCCCCTTAGGGAAACAAAATGGAAACTTCACGCATCCGCCCTCCGCCGCTTGGCCCCGGGTCCGAGTCCCCGGGGAGGGGCGCGGGC